TTTCCTGCCCTGTGCTCTCTCCTTTTTCTTGCCTGTAATTAAATGAATCATTGCCAAACCACAAGGAAAGCCCTTCGTGTTGCCCTTTCTTCCTGGGGCTTAACCCAGCTTGTGCCTCTGCAGTTTGGAGAGCTTTAGGCTGGACGTTTGCTGCTTGCCTGAGATGTGGAGCCAGGACCTCCTCATGCACCTGCCCTCTGCTCTCACATGACTGCTGGGCAGAGTGCAGAGGGTCTGAGGCAACAGTCATGCTGATGTCCCTCTCTAGAGGGTCTCCTGTACAGCAGATTTACTCATGTGGTGCTTCTCAACCTTGGCCACACATTGAAATAATCTGGGGAAATAAAACATTCTGATAACTGGGCCCCACCCTCCAGAATTCTGGTGTAATTTGTATGGGCGTGGCCTGGATATGGAGATTTAAATTTTTTTCCAAGTGATTACAGTGTACACTTAACTTCAAAAACTACACGTAAGGAAGTTTCCATCCATTCTTTTGTGGCAGGACCATGAAGCAGAGGAGAAGTGTCCCTTTCCAGCTGCTTCTGCAGGTGAAGATGGAGGACCACTGGCAGAATGCAGTGCAGCCCCTGGAGCTGGCCTACTTCCTGCAGAAGTACAGCATGCTGGTAAGATGCCATCCTGCTGGGCTCCTGCCTGCTGATTCCAAGGGGGTGGGAAGCTTAAAGGCAGAGTGAAGAGAGGAACTAACAGCCAGGGAAGCAACAAGAAACAAGTTAGGTAGCCTGGAACTCTCAGATTATAGAGACATTTGTGTAAGAGACACACATTTTTGGAGGTGCAGAATTGATATTATTTATGGACATTTTACTTCCATACTGCCCTTTTTCTGCTTCTCAGTAGCGTAAGCAAAGGCTTATCCTCCAAGCTTATTCAGCCACAGTTAAGGAACTGCAGGAAAACAGAATAAAGGAATAAAAAACAAACATGTTCTACAAAATAATTCATAAATAGGTTAGGTTTTTTTAAGACAGCAATATTGAGATGTTCACATACTGTAAAATTCATCCATTTAAAAACATACAATTCAGAGGTTTGTAGTGTATTCACAGAGATGTGCCCTCATCACAATCTAAGTTCATAGTATTTTCATCACTCCCAAAAGAAATCCCATACTTACAGGTTTTCTGTTGTGTATAACACACTGCTTTTCTCATGCTGCTTTCAGAATCCTTTGTCTTTAACTTTTTAAATCAATTATGATGTGGCTTGGTGTGGGTTGTCTTATGGTGTCCTTTGGGCTTCCTGGATGCAGATTTCTATTTTGTCCCTGGTTTGGGAAGTTTTCTGTCATTACAGCTATGTGTTGCTTAACATCAGAGATATGTTCTGAAAAATGCATCAGTAAGTGATTTTGTCATTGCGTGAACATCATGGAGCAGACTTCACAAACCTAGATGGGGAAGCCTGCTAAACACCTAGGCTATATGCTATGGCCATTGTGCTTATTTGGTGTGCCATTGACTGAAATGTCAATCTGCCACGCAGACTGTTATTTCTTTGGATAAAGTTTCTGTCTTTTCTCACTCTCCTCCTTCTGGCACTCTGATAATGCCTATTTTGGTCTGCTTTCTGTCCCACAACTCTGTTTAGATATCTTCACTCTTTTTCTTTTTTGAAACAAAGTCTCACTCTGTCACCCAGGCTGGAGTGCAGTGGCATGATCTTGGCTCACTGCAACCTCTGCCTCCCAGATTCAGACAATTCTCCTGCCTCTGCCTCCTGAGTAGCTGGGATTATAGGTGTGCACCACTATGCCCAGCTAATTTTTGTATTTTTAGTAGAGCCAGGGTTTCACCATGTTGATCAGGTGAGTCTCAAATTCCTGACCTTGTGATCCACATGCCTCAGCCTCCCAAAGTGCTGGGATTACAGGCCTGAACCACTGGGTTCAGCATCTGCACTCCTTTTCATTCATTTTTATTTTTGCTTCTCGAATGATTTCCAGCGACCTATCTTCTAGTTTGCTAATTTAGTCTGTTGAGCTTCTTTTGTGAACTCTTATTTCAGTTATCGTATTCTTCAGCTCTATTATTTGTTTGATACTTTGAACCTTTTTCTATCTCTTTGCTGAAATTCTTACTTTATTCATAGTTTGCTCTCCTAGACATGGTAAACATATTCATGATCATTATTTTGAGTAGTCATTAGGTAAGTCACTTATCTTCATTTCACTGGGGCATTTTCTGGAGATTTATCTTGTTCTTTTGCTTGGAACATATTTCTCTGTTTCTTCATTGTTCCAGATTCTGTTATTTTCTGTACATTAGATAAGAAAAATACCTTTCACAGTCTTGTCCCACTGGCCTTGTAGAGGAGATGAACTTGCCAAGTAGCCCTGCCAGAGACTTGGAGCACCTCTTGACCTGTGCTTGCCCAAACTGCCATCTATGCCCTTAGCAGCCCTCAGGAGATTAGAATGTGTCAAGTCCTGTCAGTTACCCAGACAGGGGAGATAGAAGCGAGGTGCAGCTGGAGATGTTGGGGCATTTCCAGTTTATTCTATCCTTAGGGAAAAGCTGGGAGCATGAGTTTATCCTTCACTGGCTCTGCAATAAGCTGGACAGAGGATCTGTGGCAAGTGCCTGCACTCCCTGTTTAAACTGCACACACCCTTGATGCATTGCTTGCCTCTTTGTCACCCCAGGGGCCTAGTGAATGCTGGCTCCTGTCTGCTTAGAGATGGACAGGTTAGTTGGAAGCTTGGCGCTATCTGTGGAGCAAACCAGTGAGAGCAGCTGTGGAAGTGCTCACCTACCTGTTCAGGGTCTCAGAGGAGTACTGGTTTCCTGCTCTGTCAGCTCCCAGATGCATGGCAGCCCCAGGGCAGCAGCTGCACATGTGCAGACAGACACCTTCTAAGAAGAAAGTGAGAGCCGGGCATTTCTGCCTATTCACACTGCTCTCAGTGGGCCTGGGGGTTAGCACTGGAAGTGCTTACATGCGCATCTCACTGATACCTGTGGGCTTGTGGGACTGACAAATACAGAGCCTCATCAGCTCCCAAAGCTCAGTGATTGAGGAGCTAGTCCTTCATTCGAGAGAGCTAAATGTTGTGTACTCAATGTGTGATGTTAGAGACCTGATTTTATCCTGGGGTAGGGGGTGGGAGAAGGCATGGGACTTGCCCACATGCCTGACCAGACTCCTGGAAATCTATTGTTTACCTGCCTGGTTGGCTCCAGGTGCTGACTAGTTATTAATAGAAGCCCATCCCTCACCTCGGGCAACAGCTAGGAGAGCCTGCACACATACCCTTCCAGGGAGAAATTGGGAGCCTGATATTTCTGCATGTTTGCTCTGTGCTGAGCACAGGGGCACAGCTGCTGGAAATGCTCACATGCCCATTTAAAACTGCCTCTTTGCCTTCTGTTATCGCAGAGGATTCATGGCTGCTGACCCATGTCCACTCCCAGGGCTAGGTGACCTAGCAGCCAAGCCCTTGAACTGGCTGGGGCTGTCTGTGTGTGGTCTAAACCCTTCATTCTTCAGGAGAAAGTCAGGAGTAGGGATTCCTTCCTCAAAGCAAGGTACTGGGTCTAAGGTGGGGCTTGCGGTGTGAGTGTGTCTGAGCTTTTTCAACCCATTTTGATGTGGATGTTTTCTCCATTGTCCCATGTGCAGGACTCTCTCAGCTAGTTTCTGGGTTTCTTTCTTTCAGAAGTTGATCTGTGTGTAGATGGGAGTTTTTCCAAGTGTCCACGGGAGAGGAGAGCACCAGGATCCCCCTTTTCTATCATCTCACTTATGTCACTCTGTGATTCTTTTTATTGAATTTGATTCACTAATATTTTGTTGAGGAATTTTGCATTTATGTTCACGAGAGATACTGGTTTCTAGGTTTTTTTCTTAAAATGTCTGTCTGGTCTTGGTATTAGGATAATGCTGGCCTCAGAGAATTAGTAAGTGTTCTCTCTGCTTTTGTCTTCTGGAAGAGATTGTAGGGATATAATTTTCCCATAAATGTTTGGTAGAACCCATCATTCACTAGGGAACCCATCTGGGTATAACTGAGTACTCCCATTTTCTTAGAGATAGTTTATTTTTCTTATGTTATTTCCTTTTCACTTCTCCCCTTCCCTCCCAACCCCCAACCCCCATGTTTCCCCCTTTTCTGTTAGCCCTTTAGAAATGCAAAAATCACCCTTTACCTCTCCCTCACCAGACAGTCCCTGCAGGGAAAAATAATGAATCTGTAAACTTAGAGATAGGTTGATTGAGGTTTGATTGAGAACAGGGCACGTTCTTTCAGCTCATCTTTCCTGAGACTTGGCAGTAGATTTGCAGCCCAAAGCATACCCACCAGGGAGCTCTCCCTGCCATGGGGTGGTTTTGAAACCCCTTCAGGGGTTAGCCTTTCACCCACTAGGAACACATGGAGAAAGCACACTCACTTGGCCACTTTGACAGCTTACTTCTGCCCAGAAAGGTGGCAACTCAGCTTCCATACAAGGTAACTGCCTGGGAGACAACTACCATTGCTCACTCCCCCTACCCCCACAACACACCTTATGAAAATGCCCCTTTCTCCTCCAAAGGAGAAATGGCACATGAAAAAGGCAGGATACATCATACTCTGTCCCCAAGCTGGCTTCAGAATAAATTCATGTTTTTGTATAAAACCTTCTTTTGTATTACACTTGTTTTTGTATCAGAGTTAGTTGAATTCTACTTGTGGTGAGCAGCTAACCAGCTTTTTGGCTGCATGGACACTACGTTCAGTTTTCCTTCCATCTTCAGTCTGGATAACCACACTCAACCAATTTCCAAGTCTATGGATTCTTTCTTTTACCAGCTCTAATCTGCTGTTGACTTCCTCTGGTAAATTTTTCATTTCCATTATGGTACTCCTCAACTCAAGAATTTCTGCTTGGTTCTTTTTCTATGGTTTTTTTCTTTATTGATACTCTTCGTTTGGCGAGACATTGACATGGTTTTTCTTAGTTCTTTGAACATATTATAACAGCTAAAGTCTTTGTTTAGTAAGGCCAGCACCTAGGGCTTCTAGGTGAAAAGTTCTACTGACTGCTGTTTTCCTGTGTGTGGCCACACTTTTCTGTTTCCATTGTATGTCTTGTCTCTCTGTTGGAAAATGAACATTATAGATAACGTAAGGTGGCAACACTGGACACCAGAGACCCCCACACCAGGGTTTGTTGTTGTTGCTGTTTTGTTGTTATTGTTCTTGTTGTTGATCATTGTTCAGTGACAACTTCCTGAGCTAATTCTGTGATGTCTATATTCCATGTATTGCCTGGCCACTGACCTCTCCCTTTTATCTTACTGTTCAGATAATAAGCGGTCAGAGATTTCCTTAAATGCCTGAATCGGTGAGTCTTCCAATATTTGTGAAGGGGCTCTGTGTGTTTGTTAGGGCACAATTTCAAAGTGCACACAGTTTATAATTCTGTGTTCACTGTCATTCTTTCTTGTACATGGCCTTGTGATCAGCCAGAGGGGAAGAATTCAGCCCTCTTAGATCTTGGGCATGTGCGTGGCCTTCTAGATCCTCAGGAATACATCAGTGCTGTTCAAAGTCCCCTGTGAACATCTCATTCCCCAGGCCGAGTGCAGTGGTGTAAGCACAGCTCACTGTAGCCTCAACAGCCTGGGCTCAAGTGATCCTCCTGCCTCTGCCTCAGCCTCCCAAGTAGCTCTGACTACAGGTGTGCACCACCACGCTCAATGAATTTTTTAAATTTGTTATAGAGACGGAGTCTTATGTTGCCCAGGCTGGTCTCAAACTCCTGGGTTCAAGCGATTCTCCCACCTTGGCCTACCAAAGTGCTGGGATTATAGGTATGAGCCACTACACCTGGCACTGGAGCTTAAGTTTTAAGAAGTGTTCTCGGCCAGGCATGGTGGCTCATGCCTGTAATCCCAGCACTTTGGGAGGCTGACAGGGGTGGATGTTCAAGACCAGCCTGGCCAAGATGTTGAAACCCCGTCTCTACTAAAAACACAAAATTTGCCAGGCATGGTGACAGGCACCTGTAATCTCAGCTACTCAGGTGGCTGAGAAAGGAGAATCACTTGAACCCGGGGGAGAAGTTTGCAGCAAGCTGAGATTGTGCCACTGTACTCCAGCCTGGACAGAGTGAGACTCTCAAAAAAAAAAAGGTGTTCTCTAAAATCAATACCAAAACTTACTGTTTGTTTATTGATCACTTCATATGTAGTGCCAACTTAGCCTTTCAGTGGGGCGGGAGGCCAGGAAGAGACAAAGTGGTGAGTGTTTGTGTGCATCTAGGTACCAGGGCATGAGAAGTGACCCTGAGGACCTCACTAATTGGCTGTTCCTTTTCTCTTTTGCCAGTATTTGTCCAGCATGGTGCTGCCCAACTCTACCTCAAAATCTGGAACCTAATTAAGGACCAGAGGACTGATGTGCACTTGGTAAGAGCACTTGAAAGTGTAAGATGCTGATGATTTAACTCATGAGTGGGACAAAGAGCATTAGTGGTTACCATTTCTGGAGATTCTGTCTCTTGGCTCCAACTTCTGGCAGTTGGCCTGACCTGGCTTATGGTGGTGTTTCCATCTCACCTCTCCGCTGCTACCTCCTGCAGATGGGGAGGCTGCAGGCCCTATATGTGATCTGGATGAAGGACTCCTTGATTTACCTTGACTGTGCCATGGAGAGTAGGAGAAACAGCAGCATGCTGACCCTCCTAGTTTTGTTTTCAATGTGGACTCAAAGCCCCTGAAGACATTGGTAAGGAGAGTCTCTTGGTATTTGCTGCTCCCATACATGTTAGTCCATTTTCTGTTGACACAACACAATATCTGAGAGTAGGTAATGTATTTCTTACAGTTCTGGAGGCTGGGAAGTCAAGGTAGAGGGGCTTCACCTAGTGAGGGCCTGCTTGCTGGTGAGGACTCTGAGTCTCAAGGCAAGTCAGCATGGCAAGGGAGCAAGCATGCTTATGTGCCAGCTCAAGTCTCTCTTCCTCTTCCTGTGAAGCCACCTGTCCCACTCCCAGGAAAACCCATTAATCCATGAGTGGATTAATTCATTCATGTGGGCTGTGCCCTCATGATTCAATGACCACCCCCCTTTCTCTGAAGACAGAGTCTTCCTCTGTCACCCAGGCTGGAGTGGTATGATGCGATCTTGGCTCCCTGTAATCTCTATCTCCCATATTCAAGTGATTCTTCTGCCTTGGCCTCCTGAGTACCTGGGATTACCAGTGCCGCCACCACACCCTGCTAAGTTTTGTATTTTTAGAAGGGCTGGGGTTTCCCCATGATAGGTGTCACTATGATACCAACATGATAGGGTTTTATCATGTTGGCTAGACTGGTCTCAAACTCCTGACTTAAGTGATCTGCCTGCCTCAGCCTCCCAAAGCGCTGGGGTTACAGGCATGAGCCACCATGCCCTCCCCAATCATCTCGACCCCACCTTTCATACAGCCACACTGGGGAGTCGGTTTCAACCTTTTGGGGAGGACAAACACTCAAGCCACATCACCACCCAGCACAGTGTTGCCAATTCCCCCTTGCCTCTTGGATCTAGCCCTGGCTTCTGAGAAGTTTCTTATTTCATTTTCATGATTCTGGCTGAGTTCTCCTTTGTTTTGGCAAAAATCTTTTTCCCTCCGACCTCTTTTTTCCTCATACTGGTTCCGTAACAGGAACCCCCTCCCGTTTCATTCCTCCAGTCAGTAGGTGACCTTTGAGATCCTGCCAGTGGACCACACCAGGCCAGGCATTAAGGGGGATATGAAGAGAACCAGAAGAAAAGCTGAAACCCTCAGCTGCAAAGTGTGGGAAGGCCATCCCTGATACACTGTTGGTCTGTGTCCCTGCCCAAAAATCTCGTGTTCAGTTGTAATCCCCAATGTTGGCAGTAGGGTCTGGTGGGAGGAGATGGGATGAATGGTTTGCCACCATCCCCCATGGTACTGTCTCTGTGACAGCGAGTGATTTCTCATGAGATCTCGTTGTTTAAAAGTATGCAGCCAGGCAAAGTGTGCCATAGCTCACCTGTAATCCCAGCAATTTGGAAGGCCAAGGTGAGTGGATCACCTGAGGTCAGCAGTTCAAAACCAGCCTGGCCAAAATGATAAAATCCTATCTCTACTAAAACAAAAATTTAGCATGATGGTGCAGACTGTAATCCCAGCTATTCAGAAGGTTGAGTCAGGAGAATCGCTTCAAACTGGGAGGCGGAGGTTGCAGTGAGCCAAGATCATGCCACTTCATTCCAGCTCCCCACTTGCTCTCTTGCACCTGCCCCTCCTATGTAAGATGCCTATCATTTGGCCTTCTGCCATGATTGGGAGTTCTCTGTGCCCTCCCCAGAAACAGATGCCACCATGCTTCCTGTCAGCCTGCAGAACCATGAGCCAATGAAACCTCTTTGCAGTCTCAGCTATTTTCTGACAGCGGTGTGAGAACAGATGAATACAGTACTCTAGGTGGGAAATGCCAATGCTGCCTTTTCCCTTTTCTCTTGGGTGGGGCAGGAGGACGCCCTGCACTGCTTCTTCCAGCCCAGGGAGTTTTCAAGCAAAAGTAAGTGCTTCTGTGAGAACTGCAGGAAGAAGACACATGGGAAACAGGTACTCATTCCCTAAACTGGACTCAGCTGTCCCTCGGTGCACACAGGGGATTGGTTCTGGACCCCTGAATTTACTAAAATCTGCACATACTCAAGTCCCCAGTCGGCCCTGCAGAACCCACATATAGGAAAAGTCCGTCCCTCATCTATGCGGTTGTGCATCTGGGATACTGTATTTTTAATGAGTGTTTGGTTGCAGATGTGGAACTCATGCTTATGGCGGAGGGAAGACTGTATTTATTTAAAACAATTTGTGTATTAAGTGGACCCACACAGTCCAAACCTGTGCTGTTCAGGACTGTCCTTCACTAGTCTGGGGTTTCCTTTGTGGATTTCCTGATAGAATCATCAGAGGCCCCGAGGGGACTTTGTGGTGGGTGAGAATGGGAATCTGGGTCTGGCTAGGATCTGGGATCGTGGAGTTCTGATCTCTAGAGCCATGGATGTGGCTTCTCAGGTCACATAACTGAGAGGGACCAGAGGAGAAGGCCTGAGAGCAGCCAGCAGGGCATTTCCCTTTGGGTGAGCTGAGCTCCTTGGAGCAGACACCATGGCTCCCTGGGTCCTGGTGCCTGTGCAGAGCCCTGTGCCCTTGTGCCTCTTGTGGGGACCCGGTGGTGGTAGAATACCCACATTTTGCATTATTCTCAGAGTAGCTCAGCAGATTCAGTGAACGAGAGCCTTGAACTCTGTGATGTCACCCTGCTTCCCTCTTTTTTTGGAAGAGGGTACCATTAGTCCAGACATTTCGTTTACCTCCCATTCCAAGTGGACTTTATATCCAGAGTGTTTCAGGTCTTGAAGCTGACCCATTTGCCTCAGACCCTGACAATCCACCTCATGCCATTCCCCATCAGGAATTCACAGGTGAGAAAGATCTGCCACGCCCTGTACTTCCCCCAGAGCCTGGATTTCATCCAGGTGCTTCCAGTGGAGTGAGAGCTCTGTGATGCTGAGGAGCAGGTGGGATGCTTCCGACCGTGCCATCCTGCCTGACTTTCTTCTTTCTAAATATTGGATTTGTGTTCATATGCCTCACAGCACTGAGGGACAGAATCCAGAATTCAATAGGCTCCTTTGGAAATAACATGTGGAATACATAGAAATGCATAGGCAAACATGTCACTGTGGGTTCTTAGTACCAACCAAACTTTCTTTCTCAAATGGCCCGTGCCTGCTTTGATGATAATCATAAAGTAGCCAGTTGACTGGACCACATTTAATCAGAGTAAAGTTTAAATCACTTGTCCTGAGACAACCTATTGAGAGATTCTGAGAAAAAATGACACAGGGCCAGTTGATGTGGCTCATGCCTGTAATCCCAGCACTTGAAAATGCTGAGGCAGGAGGATCACTTGAGCCCAGGAGTTCAAGACCTGCCTGGGCAACATAGTGAGACCCACATCTCTGAAATCTGAGTACTTTGGGAGGCAGAGGCAGGCAGATCATGAGGTCAGAAGTTGAAGAAGAGACTGGCCAACATGGTGAAACCCCATCTCTACTAAAAAATACAAAATTTAGCTGGGCATGGTGGCTCATGCCTGTAATTCCAGCTACTTGGGAGGCTGAGGTAGGAGAATTGCTTGAACCAGGACCTCAGAGGTGGAGGTGGCAGTGAGCCAAGATCACACCATTGCACTCCAGCCTGAACTACAGAGTGAGACTCCATCTCAAAAAAAAAAAAAAAAAAATAGCTGGGTGTGGTAGCAAACCTCTGTAGTCCCAGCTACGTTGGAGGCCTAGGTAGGAAAATTGATCCCAGGAGTTTGAGGCTGCAGTGACTGCACTGTACTCCAGCCTGGGTGACAGCACAAGATCCTGTCTCTAAAAATAAAACAGGAAAAATGAAAGAAAAAAAAGATGCAGATACCTTTTCTTCATAGATTTGACATGCTACACAGCAAAATTTGTATTCCTATATGTGCGGGTCTACTTTTGGAGTGTCTCTTCTGTTTTTATAGTCTGTTTGGCTAATTTTTCTCTAGAACCATGGCATTTAGAAAAGTAAGGCCTGAGATGGCTCCCATTATAACATGGTTTCTTTACCTACTTAGGCTGTGTACATTTCATAGGATGTTCTTTTTCAGAGACAGCCTTCTAATTCTTTATATTTCTACCTGCACAGAAAAGTAAGGCCTGAGATGGCTCCCCATTATAACATGGTTTCTTTACCTACTTAGGCTGTGTACATTTCATAGGATGTTCTTTTTCAGAGACAGCCTTCTAATTCTTTATATTTCTACCTGCACATTCTGCCTGATGAAGTATATTTAAAACTGTTTTTTTTTTTTTTTTTCCTTAAAAAGGACTCTCTTGGCTGAGTGCCATGGGTCACGCCTGTAATCCTAGCTCTTTGAGAGGCTAAAAGGATTGCTTGAGTCCAATAGTTTGAGCCCAGCTGGACAATGCGAGACTCTGTCTTTGCAACAACAACAAGACTTTGTTACGGAACATTGCAAATATATACCAAGGTGTATAGTGAAGAATTAGACAGTGAATCATCAGCTGTAACCATTACAAAACTCATGGCAGGTCTTGCTCTTCCTATAAATCTTCTGGAATCTTGTTTCATCCAATCCTGTACTGGATTTTTTTGAAGAAAATCTCAGACACCATCCTACGTCATTGGTAAACACTTCGTTATGCATCCCTAAAGAATAAGCACTCAAAACATAACCAGCTCCATCTTGTCATTCCTCGATAGCATCAAATAACTGGTAAACATGCAGACTTCTCTACTGTTCTTTAATCTATGTAGTTTTTTGGATCTAGATCCAAGCAATGCCTACACTTGCATTTGGTTAGTTTCTCTCTTTTCTTAAGTTCCTTTTAGATTTCTGTTGCCTTTATTTTCCTTGCAGTTGATTTGGTTGAAGATTTTTTTAATATGCTAGAACTGGCTGGCTGGTGTCATTCAGCATGTTTCTCTAACCCTTTTATTCCTTGTAAACTAATGGTTAGGTACAGATATTGCCCTGCATTTTATGAAGTCCCACACAAGGTCCGCAAATAGAAGTAGGGAATAACTGGAGCCTGCAGTGTGGGTGACTCAGCTTTGCATGTGCCACCCTTGCCTTCTGTCTTCCCTCCCCCTACAAAGGACACTTTTGGCTGTGAACATTGGCTCAGGTTAGGGCATTCCTGAGCTTGTGGAGAAACAGAACTATGTTCTGATGACCCCCACCCCTCCCAGGGGAAGGTTCTAATCTGCCTGGCTTTGGGGGCTGTCTCATGACCTCCTGCCTTCCATCTCCAGTGTGCTCTGCTCTGTCAAGCTGCTGAGCCTTTGCAGTTCAGGATCCATGCTCAGGAAAGCCCCTACCAGAGGATGCATGTGGGCCATGGGGTGGGACTGTTGTCTAGTATTCTGAAGTTCCATAATCAGGGCTGGGGTGGGCAGGTATAAATGTGTGATGCAGTTATATTTGTGGTGGCAAGTGAACTGTCTCATGCCTGTCTCTTTCCAGCCTGGAGGGCAGTATGAGCTCTTCACTGTAATTACACATGTGGGAATGGTGGACTCCAGTCATTACTGTGCCTACATCCGGAATGCCGTGGACGGAAAATGGTTCTGCTTCAATGACTCCAATATTGCCTCAGTGAGAATCATCATCCACAGTTGCTTTCCTGCCCTGGGATTGGCCACCTCTAACAAATGCTGGGATCCAGACTGCGTGGATCTCTGAGATCAACACACCGTGATCTCGCTGTCTGGGTGTGGTGTTGTTTATGAGAGTTAAAGCCTTTTTCAGCCTGAAGTCCCCACGTGGTTTGCACCTCTCCTCACTTCCCTTCACTTCTTAAGTTTTGGTGCTTGAGGCTCATGCCTTGTGGCTTCATGCTTTGTGGGAAATGTTTACAGAGCAAGTAGAGTTAGAAACGTGTAAGTTAGGCCTCTGGGATAAGCATGACTGAGTTTAAGCCAGGGACAAAGGTGCTAAAAACTTCATTGCACATGACATCCTGCCACTGATACTCCAGGCTCTAGGAGTTGGAAGAGGTGGCTTGTCTGGAGGATGGGGGGCACATTATAGCTCTCTGTCCTCTGTGGGTGCTCACAAGTATCAGCTGGTGGCTGCTTGACCCCATTTGTTTCTGGCTTCCAGGTGTCTTGGGAAGACATCTGGTGTACCTATGAAAATCCTAACTACCACTGGTAGAAAACATATTTGATAATGGGAGCCCAATTAGCTCATATAGGGTCCTTGGAGCTGCATGAAATGTCCATGGATTCCCCTGTTACTGACATACTGATGACTAACTGTCCACCTCATCTTCGGCACTCACCCCACTCCCCTGCTTGCCTCACATATCACACGCTAGAATATTAAAGCAAAGATCACAATTGTTTTTGTAAATGTAATTTTTAGAGATGGGGATCTGGCTTTGTTGCCCAGGCTGGAGCACTGTGGTGTGTTCATAGCTCACTTCAGCTTTGAACTCCTGAGCACAGGCAAGCCTGCCACCTCAGCCTTTTGAATAGCTGGGACTACAGGCATGCACCACTACACCTGGCATATTTTAAAAAAATGTTTGTAGAGATGAAGTCTTGCTATATTGCCAGACTGGTCTCAAAATCCTGGGCCATCTGCCCATTTCAGCCTCCCAAAGTGCTTGGATTGCAAGCATGAGCCACCATGCCCAGCCCACTGGTTTTTAAAATTGTTTGCTTACATAACTTTTTATAACATTAGACTTTGAACTCTTTGAGGGAAGGATGACTTTTCAGATTTCTTTGTCTGGCTTGCATTAGTAAGTGTCAATATGTTTATAACCAATGACCACAGAGGAGAAACTGGAGAGAAAAGACTGGATGAAGTTTAAGCAGAGAGATTTTGTAAGTTTTCTTAGCTGAGCTTTAGGTTGTATATCGGAAACGCCATTTGAGGTGATTTTCAGCTACAGAGATAGGCCTGGTCATTTGAAAAATAATGGGTTAGGTGAAGCTCACATTTGAAATCTTCATTCTACTTTCATCTTTCTCTCCTGTTTATCCTGAGCATCCTCTTAGACACTCAATCTCTGCCACTTAGTGACTGCCATTGATTTCCCTGTTATTGAGATCAGAGGTTGGCAGCCTTCCTCTATAAAGGGCTGAAGAGAAAGTACTTCAGGCTTTGTGGTCTGTACAGTGTCTGTTGCAGCCACTTAACTCTGCCCTGTGGAGTAAAAGCAGCCATAGACAGTACATGGGCGAATGAGCATGGCTGGGGTCCAGTTAAATTTATTTCTGAGAGGGGCTTGGGGGCTGGATATGGGCTCATGCTTTAATTTCAGTACTTTGGGAGGCTGAGGGGGGAGAATCACTTTAAGCCAGGAGGTCAAGACCAGCCGGGCAACAAAGCAAAACCCATCTCTACAAAAAAAAAGTAAAAGTTGTAGCTAAGCATGGTGGTACACACCTGGAGTCTCAGCTACTCAGGAAGCTAAAGCTGAGGCAGGAGGATCACTTGAACCTAGGAGTATGAGGCTGCAGTGAGCTATTATTGTGCCAGTGCACTCGTCTGGTGACAGGGCAAGAACCGGTCTCATCAGAGAATGCACATTCTCACAAATGGGAGCTAGACCACTGGGCACTCATTGACTTAAAGATGGCAGCAATAGACACTGGAAACTGATGGACGGGAAAGAGGGGGAGGGGCAAAAAACTAACTGTTGTGTACTATCTCACACAACTGTGACAAACCTGTACATGTTCCCGCTGAATCTGACATAAAAGTTGAAAAGTTTATTTAAAAACCCTGACAGGGTTGAATTTGGCTTGTGTGCCTGGAGCTTGTTAGCCTCTGCTTTAGATATTACCAACAGAAACTTAGTGCTTATCTTCCCAGGCCATATATTTTTTTCTTATCCGAGGTGATGGATAGACAAAGGCTTGATCCAGCTGCCTGGATGTTTGCTGACTGACTTGTCATGTCATGGATTAATGAGGCATCCTTTTCTGATGAAGGTTTTATGCTGTTGTGCTGATGTGTCTTCTCATCTCTTTGGCAAGAAACTGCCTATCTTCTGGTTTACATGAAGACAGAGAGCTAATGAATATGCCTGAAACCTTCAGAGATGGACACACTATCATTTTCCACTTCTGTCCTGTATCTACGGAGTCTTCTAAGAGATTTTGCAATGAGGAGAAACATCA